TGGTTATAGCCCAATTTAATTTTCATGATCTCTTGAACAAGTGAAGGAATGCTTGGGAAACAGGCTGCTCTTGGCCTGATGCCGGCCCAGCCCGAGTCGGGGCAGCCGTTACCCACACTAGTTCATCACACTCCTGGTAGACATTTCAATTAGAAGTCATTACCCTTCCTTGCATTCCTTCCTTGGCAGAGGCAGTGCAGCCCTGGGTTTTGGTCCCACTTCTGCCACTTAGCAGGCAACCTTGAGTGAGCCATTTAACTTCCCTAAGCCTTAATTTCCTCAATTCTAAAATGGGAATATTGATGATATGGGTTCTGCCTTTTACATAGGACTGTTTTAAGGATGGCTTTGTATCAGATAAATGAGGATGACTTCGATTTGGCAAGTTGTATATATTTTTTAAACAGTTATGTAGCATGGTGGGCCATTCATTTTCAAATAAATTCACCGAAGTAAATACTTTCATGGACTATTGTTGGGTACCATATTTACCGTTCCCAGTTATCCCGTGATCCTCTGAGATATGGAGGAAGCACTCATAGAAGACTTTATCATTTACTAAATGTGAGCTATTTTATGTCATATGGTGTATCAACTGACTTTCATGGAAGTTAGAAGTTCATACGCACTATTTCTTTCCTCCACACTGAGGAACTCTGTCTCTTTCCCTGATAATCACGAGAAACTTAGAGATGCCTTTATTCCTCTTTGGCCTTCCAGCTTTGTTGGATTTCCCAATTTAGGATTTCAGTGGGTCTGGCAAATGGTTGGCTTCCCCCTGCAGGTCCTGTCTCTTCTCTTGTCTGTGGACGCTGGCTTTTTCTCCCTTAGTTGCTTGGGAGATGTGTTCTTCACTTCTTGAATGCATGAGATATTTCCTTTACAGCTTGCTTTTTCTGCCCAGGGAAGGTAGCTGAATTAATTTCGCTGATGGTTGCAATTTTGTTCTTCTCTTTTCTGTCTTGTACTATCTAAGGTCAAAAAGTCACTTACTGTATTAATCGGGTCTGCCAAAGACCTCTTTGCCTACACAATTACCAATATTACCCTTTTCTGTTTTTAAAAGATTTTATTTTAAGGCAGTTGCAGGTTCACAGTGAAATTGAAAAGAAGGCAGAGAAATTTTCCACATTTCTCTTAGCCCTATACATGCCCCACCTCCGTTATCAGCATCCCCCACTAGAATGGAACATTTATTATAATTGATGGACCTAACTATCTCCCAAAGTCTATAGTTTACCTTTAAAGTTAACTACTGGTGTTGTACATTTTAAGAGTTTGAATGAATGCATAATGACATGTGTCCATCATTATAATACCGTGTAGAGTATTTCTACTGTCCTAAAAATTATCTGTGCTCCACTTATCCCTGCTCTCAACCCCAACTTCTTATTGTGCTTACCACAATCCCTTCCACCTCCATCCAAGTTGTTGCCAATGGCATGGGTTTGTCTATTTTGATTGCTGAGTAGTATTCCATGGTGTATATACACCACACCTTCTTGATCCATTCATCTACTTGGGGGCATTTAGGGTGTTTCCACATCTTAGCTTTTATAAATACTGATGCAGTAAACATATCAATGAGGTTTCCTTAAAGATTAGTGTTTTCTTTTGAGTGGAATCACTGGGTCATTTGGTAGATCCATTATTAGTGTTTTGAGGAACTTCCACACAGCTTTCCACCGAGGCCAGGCCAGTTTATATCCTCACTAGCAGAGAGTGGCCTTTCTGATGCATTGTGAGGCAATAGCTCATTGTGGTTTTAACTTGCATTTTCCTAATGATTAGTGATGTTGAGAGATACTCAATAAATTTTTGTTGAATGCGTAAAATGAATATTGATCCTGGGTAAAGCCTTTTCAGAAGGCTACTGCCATTCCATTTTCCTATTTGATCTTGGAAGAACTCAGCATGTGGGGATTCGATGTCAGATCAACCAGAAAGGTAAAAGCACACTCAGGCTCAACTCAGTATTCAGGTTTCAATCAGGGGTGAAAGGGGCAGCAGGAGTCTCTAGGTACAATATGTCAGATTATGTCATCCTTGTGTTTCTGTTCAGTTTGGAATAGGAAACAAGACCATGGTTGGTAGACCAGAGGGCAGAGTTCACTTGCCTTCAGGAGAGGAATTTGAATGGTCAGGGTACCATAAGACATCAAGCATCATATAGTTAAATGTCAGAAATGGCTTCCAGCCCTCAATGGAGACCTGTATTGCAAGCTAGGAAGTCTTTGATAAGACAGGATTTGCTATATTAATGTGAACCTAGGGATGATCGATGTAAGAGCTAGGATGTATTCTTTTTTATTTTCAGATATTTCTCTCTTTTTTCTTGTGCTCAAACTAGGATTTATGGAAAATTATTTCTATGACTGGTAAAGCTAGAGCTGGGGGAAGGTCATGTCACCAGAGTTGAATAAAGTGGTCAAACTAAAAAATAGCTTCAGCCTAGAAATAGAAATGGAAAATGTTCTTAGTGACCTGAAAATCAGAAGGTTTATGTTCTTCACCGTTTCTGACACTAATTTCTGGGTCATACCAGGGTTTCATGTTATTTTTTCCTCACCTATGAAATGAGGGGGGTGGGCAGGTTAATTTTAAAAGATCCTGTTGATTCTGGAAAAAGTCAAATAACCAGCATTTGATGATTTCTTTCAATTCAGTAAGTATTTATCAGGAATCCTCCATGAGTACTGTGCTAGGTGCTGGGTAAGCAAAAGTAAAAGAATTATAGCCTTAGCCCTTTTGGTGTGGTGAGGGAGGCGGGCAAGTAAAGTGGCAGGTCAATGAGCTACTAAGCTTAGGCTAGAGGTTCTTACAAGACTTTATGAAACATAGTTGAAGGGACATATTCATTCTGCATGCTAACGTTGGGAAAATATAGGAAGAGGTGCCATTTGTGTTGAGAACTCAAGGAAGCCTTTAACAAGAGAGAAGGAAAAATAGTCTTGGAGACGGATGAACATATGCAATACCAGACAAGCATGTTGGCCCATGGAAACCAGGAGTCAGGTTTGAGTTCAGAATGGCATGGGATAAGGGCTCATGATATGAAGATAGTGGCTGAAGGCAAGGCTGAAAGGGTAGACATGGGTCAGCTTGATAAAGAACCATAATTTTTATTTCTTTTAGATCCTACAGTTTATCAATTAGGAATGTTTTAGGTTACAAGTAATAGACTAACCAAATGACGATGACTTATGGAATAAAGACATTTCATTCTCTCTGAAGTCTAGAGGTCATTCCAGTTTGGTGCAACATCTCAACAAGTCTTCAAAGTCTCTGAATCTTCCTGGCTTTTTTCTTGCACCCTCCTCATGTTGACTTTATGTCTTTAGGCTTTTTTGCCTCAGGGTCAATATAGTTAACATAATGGTAGCTGCTGGAATAAACAACTCCCCAACTCTAAGTGGCTTAATACAACAAAGATTTGTATCTTCTTTCTGTAGAATCCAAAGCAGATTTTCTTCATAAACAGCTGGCTTTTATTTAAATGTTTTTCATACTCATCAGCAACTCCAGTCTACCTTCTATAACCAGTGCACTGATTTGTATCCAACTGCACAGGGAAAGACCATGGAGGTGCTAGCCCTGTAGTGTTGTACAATATTTTGCCTCATATTCTACTGCCTAGCACTAAGTTATACATAACTATGAGGGAAGATAAGAAATGAAGAGCATTGATTAGCCTAGAAAGAAGAGGAGATAGGCTTGCTAATCAGCTAGCAGTTCTGTTCCAGGTTACAAAATGTTTAAATATCACCTCCTACAAAACCATGTAGAAAGTAGGGAGAAAGTGGAAGGAGTAGAACCAGAAAGCTCTCATTTTTGAATTTGGACCAAAATTCCTGGAAATTTTCCATATGACTTCCCTTGACATCTTACTGATCCACTATGTCACACATTCCTCCCCTATAGCTGACTGCAGAGAGGCTGGAAGGTAAGCATTGGGATTGGAAATGATTGACACAGGGCATTCTGAATCATATAAAATTTGGGAGGGATGTGTTTTTCCTATACACACCCGATCTGTCAAAGGCTGGGTTTGGTTAGCCAGGAAGAGTGGGAGAGAATGGCGATTAAGTAGTCAACCGAAAGTATACAGCAAGGAAGCCAAGGAGATATTTAAGTAGATGAGTGATGTGATCTGATTTGTGGTTTAGAATGGTCTTTCTGGAAAATAGATTGAAAGAGCCTTCCTATTCTGAAGCAAGGGCACCAATTTATCTCCTGAAATGTGAAATTCTAATAAGATCAGAGAAAAATCTTACAGAGGACTCAACAAAGTGGATGTTTCAAAACTCTTACCTAGTGAAGAAAGATCCAAATCTTTGATTCCAGAAATAAAATTTCTTTTTGAATAATTAAAGCCCATGTCATTGTGATTGATAGACCAGGAAAATGTTTTAACATTTTTTTAATGGAAAAAAATATTTCCTTCCTTTTGAAACTTGGATATTTTTATTTCTCACACAGACTGGGGTCTTCAGCTTTGAATACCCTTTACTATCACAAATGAATAGTGCCATATTTAGACTATAATATGACTTCCTTTGGGTTCACAAGAATGGTTTCTAACAACTCCACGTGTGAGCTTAGGGAAGAATGACATTACCTGTGGTGTTGACCAGCATTTTGGTTTTCTGAAAAATTGAGATTAGCAAGACGGAGGCAAAGGAATATGAATAAAAGAGAATGCGATATAAATGCACGACATACAAAAGTAATAGGGATAGAATCACTCATTTATGTATGATCTTGATATGTTGTTTATATTCCCAGAGCCTCAGGGGTGTCCCAAGAATCATATAGGATGATGGGTTAGTGCTCAGCAAGGACCCACATCCTCCCTAGAGTCAGCATCCCTCTTGTGCATAGGTTCTAACTATCTGACTTATTCCAGTCAGTATAATATAAGCAGAACTAATGGGGATTCCTTATGGTCGTGGCCATTAAAAACCAATATGCTTTCTTTCTCTCTCCTTTCTCCTACCCAGCTAGCCTCGGTGTTTCAGATGGCAGAGCTACATGATGGAGGAAGGCCATTGACCCCACATTCTAGGAGGAAGAAATGATTGTATCCAAATAATACCGGTAAGAAAATCCTTTGAAAATGATAGTCACTACTACCGGTGCTGTTATAATTACAAAAACAGGTAGTGCTTCCACTGCTTCCTCAGCTCATGAGTGTTAATCCTTAACTGGTTTGGTTAGCTTCCACTTTGTTGGGGTTGCCAGACTTTCCTTCAAGCCATTCTCGTACACAAGTTGTCTAAGGTAGAATAGAGGCTACCGTCTACTCAGGGAGCTTACAAATATCTTGGATGGTGGACCCTGGCCTGTCCATACTTGAAAAGAAATCAGTGCTGAATATCCCCTGCTCCTCAGTAGATAGGTCCTTCTCTCTGATATTTAACTGCCTCACACCTTCCTCTCCTGTTTTGGTCTCTCCTCTGCCTTTTCATCTCTATTCTCAGACAAATACCATCTTTACAAGTATAAATGCACACCTTCAAAAATGTCTGTTTTGTGTTTATATTGGGATTCCATTTTATCTTTATTTGTGATTTGGTGAGAGCAGAATGGGGGAAAATGACCCTCAACTAAGAGTGAGGGCACAGAAAAGCAGAGAGGTATATGAACCCAACAGATTTGGAATTTGAGTTATACCTGTTATGTTATTATCTTTCTTGACATGATTATTAATAATGAATAGATAAAACATGGGCTGCTGAAAGACAATATTGTAACAAGAAGGGACTTCACAGAAACAATTTTTGAGAAATTTATTATATGGCCTGCAATCATCTTGAACTGTCAAAACATGTCTTATCTACTTCAGTCAGCAGTAAACAATAAGTTATATTTGGGTGCACATAGGTGCCAATACAAATGAAGAAACAGCAATACACAATTTCTAGAAAAAAATTCTAAGCTACCATAACTTAATCACCTCTCATTTGTGGTATGCATTTTCGGAGGGGGCTCAATGAGTTTTACTTCCTAGTGTTCATGCCTTGTGTCCCACTTATTGAGTATGAGCTTGTTTTGGTGACCTGCTCTTATTCAGTAGAACATAAGGAAAGTTATAATATGTCATTTTCAACATTGCATTTAAAAGTTGTGACCTCCATCCTGTTAACATCCTTTCCTTCCTCTTGTCATTTGCCCACCTTGATGAAACCTGGCAATCCAAGGAGAGCCCCTGATCGTGGCAACAGCTATAGGGAAACATGCTTCCCTTCTTTTGATGGTTTTTATAAATCTACAGAAATAATATAATGCATGTTTTGGTAGAAACATATGTGAAGAACTGTGGTAATATAGGTGATTGTGCAAATAATTGAAATGATCAATAAATGATGTCAATAATTAGAGTCACCAATGCAAATTCTCTGAAAATAATACAGTGCAAAGTGGACCGTTGTATAGTCCAAAGATGGAACATCAGGGAGGTCTAGATAGAGACCGAGACCTGACAGTAGTTCAACTCTGGTCTAAGGAAGTGACCAGTGAATGGAACCAAGAAGGACCACCTTGTTAAGTGCCAATGACTCAGACAATGACAAGAAAACACAGTAACAGCAAAGGAAGAGATCTGAACAAGACCCAGATGGAAACACTGTGTTAGCTGCTCCTGGTTGAGGATTTCTCCAGTGTTTTGGAACTTAACAATGGGATCTTCTGTAGGAATGCCTGCATATTATTTTCTGTACATATTTTACAGCTAAATTCTCCTTCAATAATGTTTTAAAACTCTAGTACATCCTTCTAAAAACTTTTTGCAAAAGCAAAACAAGTATACAGAAAAATATGTGCAATCAAACGTATTACTTGGTGACTTTTCTTTTTTTCTTATTATTTTTAAATTTTATGCATTTTTTACAACCTTTTTCATTTTTTCACAATGTATACATTTTCATATTGGTTATAGTCCCCATACAATTCCCACCACCCTTGTTTTGATCCTATTCTCTCCTCCCCCCACCCCATAGTGTGTCTCTGGTTTACAGGACACAGAAACATTAATTCAAAAGGCTACCTGCACCCCTGTTTATCACAGCACTATTTACAATAGCTAAGCTATGGAAACAACCCAAATGCCCCAAAATAGATGACTGGATCAAGAAGATGTGGTACATATACACAACGGAATATTACTCAGCTATCAAAAAGATAATCTCATGCAATTTGCAGCAACATGGATGGAGCTGGAAGGAATCATGCTCAGTGAAATAAACCAGAGAGAAAAAGAAAAATAACGGATGGTCTCACTCATAGCAGGAATTTAGAAAACCTAAAAAAGGGACCAGGAAAAAGACTAATTATAATAAAGAAAAAATTAAAATCACTTGGTGATTTTTAAATTCACAAGCTGAATATACCTGTGCGGGCAGCACTCAGAGAAAAATAGGACATGACTAGAGCTTCAGCAGCTATCCTCATGCTCCCTTCAAGTCCTTTTTAACTTGTGAACCATTTTTATTTTGAAGCACTTTTAGACTTACAGAAAAGTCACAAAAACCAGTACAGAGAGTTCCTGGGTAACCTTCACTCTTGTTTCTCCTAATGTTAACATCTGACCTAACCATAATCCAATTATAGAAGACAGGGCCCAACTTGAACTACTTCCTAAAGCCCAAAATTTGGATCATTTGAGCAGCATCAATGAATAAATAAAATAGTGGATTTTAACCCCTATGATAAAATAAGTAGCCCATGAGACATATGTGTGTGTACACATATGTACATATGTATATATATTTGTATATATGTATATATATACACAAGGACATACATATAATTGAATAAATAAGAGAGAAAGGACAATTCCTTCTTAAAGTAGAATTCTAATTTATACAAATAGGAATGATGGGTATAGATCACTATTAGAAAAACAGCACATTGACATTTGTGGAAAACATGAATCACTGATTGATGTTAAAAGTAGTGGGCAAAAGTGTCGTGAGAAGTAGCACGTCTGTGTAGTCACAAAGGATTTCCCTTAAGATACTTAATAATTGTACAGGAAAAACTAGCAGCTTCCCAAATGGAGAAACCTGGCAGACATAATCTTAACATAGTGCTAAATATTAACATCTCTAGCAATAAGACATATTGAAGTCTCATACTTCCTGATGTGATGTGCTGAGAAGGGCACAACATATTCCATGCCCAAAAGTTGAAGTAGTTTGCAAGATACTGGCCAAAATACATAATCTGAATTCATTCATCAAAAAACAAATCCAAACTGAGGGACATTGTGCAAAATGACTGGCCGATCCTCTTTAAATATGCCAAGATTATGAAAGTCAGAGACTGAGAAACTGCTCCAGATCAGAAGAACCTAAGGGGAAATGATGATTTAATGCAAGGTAGGATCCTGGATATTATCCTGGATGAAAAAAAAAAAAAAAAAAGGTAACAGGGCCTCCCTCGTGGTGCAAGAGGTTAAGCACCACACTATGAAGCAATCCGAGGCCTCTGCAGCATGAGTTTGATCCCCGGCCAGCTAGGGAACAACCCACATGGCGAAGACCTCTCCTTTCTCACCTGCTGCTCCCCTCAGCAGTGTATTTCAGTCAGTCTGCCTGTTCTGTTCCCTGCTCTGTCTCTGGTGAATCCTCTCACCCGCTTTCATCTCTGGCCTGTATCCCAGCTCTTATATGCATAAATAAACAAATCTTTTTAAAAAAGTTAACAGTAGTAGAAAATTGGTGAAATTTAAGTAAGGTTTGTACTTTAGTTCATAGTATATTAACATTCACTTCCCTTTTACTTTTTACTTTTTTTTTTTAAGATTTTTATTTTGTTTTATACAAGAACCAGGATACAGGCCAGATGTGCAGGAGGGTGAGAGGATTCACCAGAGACAGAGTGGGGAACAGAACAGGCAGAATGACAGAAATACACTGCTGAGGGGAGCAGCAGGTGAGACAGGAGAGGTCTGCCATGCCATGTGGGTATCTCCCTGGCCAGCCAGGAATTGAACCCGTGCTGCAGAGCCTTTGGACAGCTTCACAGTGCTGTGCTCAACTGCCTGCGCCACCAGGAAGGCCCCTCCCCCCTTTTACTTTTCGAAAGATGAAAGACTAACAACTAACATACATATACTGCTGACTTTGCCAGAGCACATTTCCATTTTACAGATGAGGAAACTGAGGCTCAACTAGAATTACACAGCTGGTGAGCTGCAGAGCAGGGTTCAGACCTGGCTGGCTGGCTCCAAGAATGTGTGTTTTACCTCTCTGCTATGTACCTCTCGAACAGACATCCTTCAGGGATTGTCAAGGGCACACTCCTGGGCCCTGGACTCTTGACTGAACAGATCAAAGTAAGCAACATTTCCCCACTGTCTGCACAGTGAGTCTGGAACCCAGGCCTTCATCCTGGCTGGGATGCCCCTTACAAAGGCATTTTTTTCTGAGATTCTAAAATAGAAGCTCTAGGCTCTGTCTTCCCACAGAAAATATCGACATCTATATTTATCTCTTTTCCAGAAGCTGAGAAGACCCAGTTCATGCTAATTGCAGTTTACCAAACAAGCTGATTCTTAACCCCATGAATATTTTTGCCATTGAAAGCGCCTACAACTTGTGAAAATGAACAAATGGCAAACTGCTCTGCTCTTTTCACTTCCCACACATGATTATATTTTGTTGCCTATTAGCTCTACATTTGCACCATGGGAATCACAGAGACGTGACCAAAGATCCCAGCGACCCCTGATCTGAGCACAGCTTGGTCCTGGGCATGGTGTAGACATGATGTTCAGGCTTGGGACAATCTGGCTGGACACTGCTGAAAATGAGGTGATGAGTCCCCAGTGACTCAGGATTTAATTATTAAAAATGATTCTTAAATGTTTTATTAAAACCTTTTTATATTAAAATAACTGGATGAGGAGTGTAATGAACATGCATAGACCCGCCACCTAAATCCCACGATTGTCAACATTTTGCCATATGTACTTTACATGGTGGATTCTTTGTATCAAGGGTTTAAATAGGGCAGCATGTTGCAGAGTCTACATACAGTCTGGAACTTCACGCACACAACTTGTTTGTTTGTTTGTTTGTTTTGGGCAGAGTTGG